TGCTTTATATAGTTACAAATTAACTGATAATAGTACACTTAATCTTCCCTCACTCTGTTCTCTCCATCTCTAACATACGAGCAAATATTTAATATAGAAATCCTCAATAGTTTAGACAACTTTAAAATTCATTTCATACAATCAACCAACCTCTCGTTTTATACTGATGGTTCTCTTATCAATTTAGGTACTTCTTTGATCCGTATGGGCGTGACCTGGTTGCAATCCGATCCTTCAGCACCTCTACTTTCCTTTAAAGCTTTACTTATCCTTTCTCAACCTTCATCTTCTCTAGCAGAACTAGTAGCAGTACTATCTGCTATATATGTAGCGCCTACAAATGCTACAGTTAATAATATTTTCACAGACTCACAAAATGTCATTTCATCTTTTGATAAAATGCACTACTTCTACACCTTCTCCCCTACCTTTAACCTATCTTTAAAATCTCCTTTTACCCAATTTAGTTCCTTGTCATAAAGTTAATCAAAGAAAAATCCATTTCCATTGAATTTCACAAAGTCAAAGCTCACTCGGATGATCATTACAATAATGTAGTTGATACATTAGCGAAAGCTGATAGTCTCCCAATCACTCTAAATAACAAATTTCTAGGACATCATTATAATCTCTATTTTAATGAGGATATTGTACTTATTCCACCAAGATTGTTCTTGAAAGATCTTCTTAGATCAATCGATTTTCATAATATCCAACTACTTCTCACTTTAAAAAATATAGTACAATGGATGTGGATTGGATTCGAACTTCTTTCATTCTAAACAACAATGAAAATAACTCTTATACATCCTTCAAAGCATTGTCCATTTGCAAATTTAAAATCAAGCTTATGCTTGAACTGCTCCCTACTCTTGAAATTCTCAAAATAAGACACCTGAATCTATATGACCAATCATGGAATTGTCCTAGATGTTCATGTATCTATGAAACTTTTAACCACGTGTGGACTTGTACCAAAATTGAACACCATGTCATTAACATTATATTCTCGACTAAAAGCTTTTTTATACAACATCTCACTGCATTGATCTCAGACACTCAGGAGTTTATGGATCTCTTATATTTGACTATCTGGTCCTTAAATGATCAACCTGACTCTTTTAACTTTATTGACCTAATCAAAGGAATCGTACCCCTTTCCTTATTCATCAAAATACACTGCCTTATTAATAATCTCCAATTAACAAACGGTCTCTTATCTTCTACTTACCATCATGTATTTTCCCAAATAAAATCCATTTGGATTGATCGTTGCAATGATATCAAAAAATTTGAAGACCTCAACAACATTTCACTCAATGATTGAAAATTGCATTTCACCACCACCGGCTTTCTCTCATCACCTCTACATAATTTTAGTATCCCTCCATACTTTATTTCCTCCTTTAGATTTGGTATGAACTGGTTGAATTTTTAGATCAGTAGTAATCACGCCCCCTATACTGGATGGTTAATCCTATTCTAAATTTATTTGGATAGGTTAGTCTGGAATGGTGCAAGGTTGATTTTGATTTAGCTTTATTGTTAAATAGAAATTTTTGTACTCTCTATCTTGTAATTTGTAATTTTGTAAAATTTTACTTTACTCTTAAATAAAGTTTGTGCAAAGCTACCACACGTAAAAAAAATAAAAAAAAAAAGTGTAACTAAAAAAAATTATTTTATTATTTAAAAAAGAAAATTGTTATATTAATAAATTCTTGATATAAAATTTTTAAAATCAAAAAAATTTTTTTATAAAAATTGATAGCATTAAATAAATAATCAATTTTTTTGTTTAAATATTTATTCAAACAAAATCAATAAAATCTATCATGTAATTAGAGGTTGCTATAATAATTGGATCACCAAACAGTTATATTATTTAATAATTATATTTAAATTTAATAAAAATTTTTAATTAATTATAATATAATAATTTATAATTTTTAAGATTTAGTTAAATATTATTATTAATAAAACTAAAACTTTATTTTTAATAATTATATTCTTAAATATATAACTTTAACTTTTTAATTTTTCTTAACTTAAAAGTTAATAATATTTATAATTATAAATAATTATTAAGATTTTAAATTAATATAAATTTTAATTTTTTTATTTAAATTATCATATTATTAAATCAATTTTTAGAATTTTAATTTATATTTATAAATAATTATAATAAATTATAATAATATATATATTAACATATTACTTTATATATTTTTAATTTAATGATAAATTACTTTAAAAAGCTTATAAAATAAAAAATTTTTGTTTTCTCCCTTTCTACTCCAAAGCATCCATATTAATAAATACATTGCTTAATAAATAAACAATATAACCTTTTTTTACTTATATCATTTAAATATTTTTTATTTCAAACTATTATTAAAGTTTATAATTTAAAACAAAGGTATTAAAATTTTTTATTTTTATTTATAACTGAATAAATCGATGTAACGTAAGATTTATTAAACGATTTCCCTTTTATGACTAATCGACTAAAATCGTTCCCATTTCGGAATTTATCAACTCGGATATTTTCTTAATGCAGGAAAGTAAAAGATCTAACAAAGTCCAGATAGTTGTTCATTTGTAAGTTCTAATTATTTCCCACGTCTAATATGGGCATTAAACCAGTATCTGACTTGATTGAAAAACCATTTATACGAAAATTTTTTTTAACTTCAAAAATGGGAATGTCGTAAGAAAAACCAAACGTACATCGTCACGTAAGGAAAAGTATATACTGTAAATAATAATTAGATATACCAGAGATTCGCCGATCCCGATTTGATTATGAAACTAAACCTATTTTGAATAAAACAAAGATTCGCAATATGTGGGGATTTAAATCATGTCCGAACTTCTGGTATTATATAAATTATACCTTTATTTATCGGGATTACCAATATTGGAATGAACTTAGTGATCTTTAATTGGTACAGGAAAAATTTGTCGATCCAAAATTTGGCTCAAAGTTTAAATACAACTTAATAAATGTATTATTTCCTTTGGAAAAAAAAAAAAAAGGACAAAATTAAAATCAAAACTATAATAAATAATCTTATTTTTACACGCATCAATGGGGAACGTTCTTTCATTTTCTAGAAAACACGGCAAATTAGCAAAATCCAAAAACACCCAAAATGTTCAAAAAAAAACAGAACCTTTAAAATATTACCTACCGAATTTTATAACGGACACGGATATAATGGTTATGTCACATTTTTTTGATCGATATCTTTTTCAATGTAATTTTAAAGCTCCGATTGAAGAAAAATTGACTAGCGGACAATGTAAAGTCTTAGATGTATGGTAATTATTTTTATTAAACAAAATTTCAGTTGAACGGCGGGGAAATTCAAATTCGGCTGGATGGAATTAACCGCTCGTTAATCAAGTTTATATTGACGTGCTGAGTTGGTTATCAACAGTTGGATTTTTAACGTTTTCTTAAACTACATTTATATCTCACTAGCTGCGGGGCTGGAACTTGGTTATTAGACATGGCTTCAGCTTATGGTTCATCGAATTTCTTTGGGATTGATTTGTGCTTTGTATTCCCGACAGAGGTGAGTAATACAAGATATTTTATCGATCCAATTTCAAAAACAATTAACATTGTTATTTTATCTAGATTAAACCGGAAAATGTGCAATTTAAATTAGGCGATGTTTTGGAAGGGCTTCCATTCGATGATAATACATTTGATTACGTTCATCAAGGACATATGGTAGATGTATTTACATTGGATCAATGGCATTTTGCTATAACGGAAATAATAAGGTAAGTTTACGTACCACCGAAGCAACTCAAGATTTTACAAATATTTATTCCGATTTCAATAAAAATCTAGAGTGTGTAAACCAGGCGGATACGTAGAATTCGCTGAACCAGAATTAGCAACTAACTCTGGCCCAATAGTTTCAAAGTTCTACGATGCATGTAAGATAAGTACACTTTGTTTTTTCTTGAGATTAAAAAAAAAGTTTAATTAATTATTTTTTTTTTTTTTAAAAAAAAATAAAAACCTAGTGGTCGAATTAAGCGAATCCCGTAATGTGAAAATACGAATGTATGATAATATTATCGGAATCTTAAACTCAACAATATCAGTGCAAAATGTTGAATCTAAAAAAGAAGTGATTTCATTGGGGTTAAAGAAAGGAGGATATGTCGGCAATGAGTATTTGATGATACATAATGAATTTTTTTTAAACGTTCCTATGCCCGAAACTTTGTCTAAATTTATGGGACTTTCAGAAAGAGAATATTTAGAATTATATAAAAGGGCCAAAAATGAAGTTGAGAGTGTGTTTTCACCTGATTGTGAAGTCTATAAAATATGGTGTCAAAAGAGATGAGAACAATTTATAAATATTTTTTAAAAAATATACACGTTAAATTATAACGTATCATTCCTTCATTTAATATTCTTCATTTTATTTATATAATATCCCTAGCGTCATTAGCATTATTACAATCATTGCATTGAAGTTATTCAAAAAGTCAGCCCAAATATTGATTCATATCATGTTCATGGGCTCAATTTAATAATAATAATAATAATAATAATAATACAATCTAATTTTTGCTTTAAAACGTAATTTTTCATATAAATTTTTGACAAATACTGCGGCTTTAAATTAACCAAATTCGGTACCAAAACCAAATTTATAATGTTTCAAAACTACGGTTTCTGTCCAATCCAGCCAAATTATTGATTGTTATTTTAAACTATATTTATATATTTATTATAAGTTTAATGTAGTATTATCGGGAATGGGCCATTTTGGAATGTGATGATCATTATTAGTCATTGTTTAATAATACATACAAATAATATACACACACTGTATAAACAGCATTTATATATAAACTATTGAAAAGTATTATTATTATTATTTTTTTTTTTTAAGAAAATCAAAAATTAAAAAATTCCCCACTTTATTACTTTTCGAAATCTTTTAAAATTAATTCTAAAACTCTCTATGGGAATAATCTTTTCAACTTGCTGGGTGCGCAAAAATATCAAGTCCAAACGTGCATCATTGGAATTTGAGGGTGTACAAAATGAAGAGGATAAAGCAGAATCTTTAAAATATTATCTACCAAACTTCATAGGAAATATAGACACAATGGTGATATTTCATTTTCTTGGTCAACACCTTTTTCAAAGCAATTTTAACGCTCCGATTGTAGAAAGATTGTCTAGCGAACAATGTAAAGTCTTAGATGTATGGTAAATAATTTTTTATTATTTATAAGTTGAATGGCTGGAATAAACGTTTTATAACTCTAGTCTAAGATCAACCGTTGGATTTTTTAACAATTTTGTTATTCATTTTTATCTCAACAGTTGTGGGGCGGGAACTTGGTTATTAGACATGGCTTCAGCTTATGGTTCAACGAATTTCTTTGGAATTGATTTGTGCCCTGTATTCCCGACAGAAGTGAGTAATACAAGATATTTTCATCGATTCAATTTCAAAAACAATAACATTGTTATTTTATCTAGATTAAACCGGCAAATGTGCAATTTACACAAGGCGATGTTTTGGATGGACTTCCATTCGATGATAATACATTTGATTACGTTCATCAAGGACATATGGTAGATGTATATACATTGGATCAATGGCATTTTGCTATAACGGAAATAATTAGGTAAGTTTACGTACCACCGAAGCAACTCAAGATTCTACAAATATTTATTCCGATTTCAATAAAAATCTAGAGTGTGTAAGCAAGGCGGATACGTAGAATTCGCTGAACCAGAATTAGCAACTAACTCTGGCCCAATTCTTTCACAATTCTACGATGCATGTAAGTTAGAAAATTTAATTAATTAATTAATTATTTTTTTTTTTTTTATATTAAAAAGATATTATTAATTATAAATTTTTTTGAAAATCATTATATTTTTTTTTAAAAAAAAAAAAAAAAATTCTAGTCGTCGAATTAAGCGAAGCCCGTAATGTTAAGATACGAATGTATGATAATCTTATTAGAACCTTGAACTCAACAACATCAGTGCAAAACGTTGAATCTAAAAAAGAAGTGATTTCATTGGGTACAGGATTCCTTGGCAATGAATATTTGGAGTTACATCATGATTTTTTTTTAAAGGCCATGCCCGAAACTTTGTCAAAATTTATGGGACTTTCGGAAGGAGACTATATAGAATTATTTAAAAAAGCCAAAAATGAAGTCGAAAATGGTATTTCACCTGATTGTGAACTCTACAGAATATGGTGTCAAAAGCTGTAGTAAATTTTTCTTTTTTTTTTTTAAAAAAAAAAAAAAATTTTATTAGTAACTGTATACGGTCGACCTTCTCTATAGTCACACTCATATATAGTCACACCCCTTTATAAGCACACCTACAAGTTAGAAAAAACCTCTCTCTAGTCACATCATATAGTATTTTTTAATCACTTTTTTTTTGATCCCGAGGGGTGTGACTATAGAGAGGGTAGAATGTATAATAATATCACTAAAATCATTAGCGTTATTACTATCATTATCATGGTATTCATGTTATTCAGAAATTAGGCCTAAATAATTGATTCACATGTTTGTGTTATTGTGCGCAAAGAATAAAAAATCTAGAACGAAGAATTAATAATCTACATTTTGCCCAAATATTATTGTCACTTTAAAGCATATAATTTTCATATAAATTTTTATTGATCTTCGATGATCCAGCAAACAAAAGAGTTAGTTTAGTAACCAATTTATATGTTTCAAACATCTTTAGTGTAATCAATATTATTTGATCCGCGAAATTTTAGTAAAATTAAAATAGATTTACTTTTGATGGAGCCAGATTTCAAACTAAAAGATGTATTGAAAAGCAGTTTTGTAATTAAGTAATTATCGGGAATGGCTATTTTGGAATGAGAATAATCAAATTAGTCATGGTTAAGTAATGCACACAAATATATACACACCACACACACCACACACATATACATATATAAAGAATATATATATATAAACTATTGAAAATGACTATTTTCTTTTTTTGTTTCAAGAGAATAAAATAAAAACTCCCCTCCCCTCCTTTATTAATTTTCAAAATTCCTCCAAACCTTTTTTTCTATGGGAAAACATTTATCAACTAACAGGGGGCGCAAAACTATCGGTACATCATTAGAATTTAAGGTTGTACAAAATGTACAAGACGAGACGGAACCTTTAAAATATTACCTACCGAATTCTATAAAGGACACGGATATAATGGTTATGTCACATTTTTTTAATCGATATCTTTTTCAATGCAATTTTAAATCTCCGATTGAAGAAAAATTGACTAGCGGACAATGTAAAGTCTTAGATGTATGGTAATTATTTTTATTAAACAAAATTTCAGTTGAACGGCGGGGAAATTCAAATTCGGCTGGATGGAATTAACCGCTCGTTAATCAAGTTTATATTGACGTGCTGAGTTGGTTATCAACAGTTGGATTTTTAACGTTTTCTTAATCTGCATTTTTATCTCACCAGCTGCGGGTCGGGAACTTGGTTATTAGACATGGCTTCATCTTATGGTTCATCGAATTTCTTTGGAATTGATTTGTGCCCTGTATTCCCGACAGAAGTGAGTAATACCAGATATTTTCATCGGTTCAATTTCAAAAACAATAACATTGTTATTTTATCTAGATTAAACCGGCAAATGTGCAATTTATACAAGGCGATGTATTGGATGGACTTCCATTCGATGATAATACATTTGATTTCGTTCATCAAAAACATATGGTAGATGTATATACATTGGATCAATGGCATTTTGCTATAACGGAAATAATTAGGTAAGTTTACGTACCACCGAAGCAACTCAAGAAAAAAAATATTTATTCCTATTTCAATAATAACTAGAGTGTGTAAGCCAGGCGGATACGTAGAATTCGCTGAACCAGAATTAGCAACTAACGCTGGCCCAATACTTTCAAAGTTCTACGATGCATGTAAGATAAGACAACTTTGTTTTTTCTTGGGATTAAAAGAAAGTTTAATTAATTATAAATGATTTTGAAAAAAATTATTTTTTTTTTTTTTTTAAAAAAAAAAATAAAACTTAGTGGTCGAATTAAGCGAATCCCGTAATGTGAAAATGCGAATGTATGATAATCTTATTAAAATCTTGAACTCAACAACATCAGTGAAAAATGTTAAATATAAAAAAGCAAAGATTTCATTGGGTTCAGGATTCCTTGGCAATGAATTTTTGGAGATACATCATGAATTTTTTTTAAAGGCCATGCCCGAAACTTTGTCAAAATTTATGGGGCTTTCGGAAGGAGACTATATAGAATTATTTAAAAAAGCCAAAAGTGAAGTCGAGAATGGTATGTCACCTGATTGTGAACTCTACAGAATATGGTGTCAAAAGCTGTAGTAAATTTTTCTTTTTTTTTTTAAAAAAACTTAGTTTATGTCATCATTAATAGATTCACATTATGTTAATGCGCATAATAAATTTAAAACAGTGTTCATAATTCACATTTTGCCCAAATTTGATTGCCTTTATAAAATGTAATTTCATATGAATTGTATTGTTGGCCTTGGATTCACCGAAATTGGAAAGCAAACCCAATTACAAACTATTTATATTTGTTCAACAGTTTCAAGTTCTTTTTTAGTACTTGATGTTTTTGTGTAACCATATTATTTTAAAACTATCTTTTATATATATTTAATTTAAAGTGATATCCGCGAAAATTTAAAATTTAATTTAAAATCGGATGAGAAAGATTTGCTTCTGATGAAGCCAAACTTTCAAGCAAGAAGATAAAATGAAAACAGAAATTGTAATGTAGAATTATCGGGAATTTCCATTTTAGAATGAGGAGCTTTTTGTGATGATCAATATTAGTCATGGTTAAGTAATGCCACACATATCACTCACACACACATATATATATACAGTATATTCTTTTTTTTTTTTTTTCTCAAATAAAAAATTTAATGAATTTTCAAACTCTTCTCAAAACAATGGGGAAAGCATTCTCAAGTTGCAGGATGCGCAAATCCATTAGGTCCAATCGTGCTTTATTATCATTTGAGAATGTACAAAATGAAGCAGCACCTTTAAAATATTACCTACCGAATTTCATAAGTGACACAGACATAATGGTAATATTACATTTTCTTGATCGATACCTCTTTCAAAGCAACTTTAATGCTCCGATTGAAGAGTTGTTGCTTGATGGAAAATTTAAAGTCTTAGATGTGTGGTAAATATTATATATTCACGAATTTTTATTTTATTTCTTCTTTTGTTTCCATTAATTGATTTACTTTCACTTATGAAACTTCATGATCGGTTAACAGTTGCGGGGCGGGAACTTGGTTATTAGACATGGCTTCGGTTTATAAATCCTCAAATTTTTTTGGAATTGATCTGTGTTCTGTATTCCCGACAGAAGTGAGTAATTCAAAGATATTTTCATCAGTAAAACTTCAGCATAAGAATAACTTTGCTTGTAATTTAATAGATTAAACCTCATAATGTGGAATTCGTGCAAGGTGATATTTTGGAAGGGCTTCCATTCGAAGATAATACATTTGACTTCGTACACCAAGGAAACATGGTAGAAATATTCACATTGGGTCAATGGCGTTTTATTACAATGGAATTAATTAGGTATGATTTACATCAACACCTTTAAACCCCTGAAGATTATTCGCGATTTACGGATTTATTACTTCTAATAAATAGAGTATGTAAACCGGGCGGGTACATCGAATTCACTGAACCCGAATTAGGAAATAACCCTGGCCCAATACTTTCAAAATTCTATGATGCACGTAAGTTGAAAAATTTCATTTATGTAAAGTTGGTATATAATTAAGTTAGAATTGAATATATATATATATATTTCTTTTTTTTTAAAAACCTAGTGATCAAATTAAGCGAATCTCGTAATGTCAAAATTCGAATGTATGAAAATCTTATTAATATCTTGGACTCAATACCAATGGTACAAAATGTTGAATCAGAAATAAAGAGTACCATATTGGGCTCAAAGAGAGGAGGAAATGCTGGCCATGAATATTTGGAAGTACATAATGGATATTTCTTAAATGTACCGATGCCTGAAACGATGTGTAAATTTATGGGACTTACGGAAGAACAATATTTCGAAATGTTTTACGAAGCTAAGAAAGAAGTTCTGGATGGTATTGCTCCAAAATGCGAAGTATATCGCATATGGTGTCAAAAGAGATTTGAGGAAGATTAGTATATTTGATTATTTTTATTAGTTACGCGTCAGATGGGATCACGTGTCATTCTCTTCGTTTCATATGTTTGATGTCATTGCAAATCTATTTGCTAATAAATTCTAGATATTTACAAAATGATTTCAATTAAATTTGTTGAATTGTTGATATATATATTTATTGATCTTTCCTTTGAAAGGCTACGTACGAAATTTATAAATTGAAACACGTGCAGGTGATATCTAAATCAATTTTGATCCACCGAGAGACAAACATAAAATCATTAGCTTATAATGGACAAAAAGTCCGAGTAATTGAAATGCGAAGAAGAGGTTCAAACGAGTTTTGAACGAGGGTATAAGCGGTAAAAAATCTGGAATTATATGCGACGTGACGTTCTGTTAGCATGATGCGCACGGATATTGATTTGGGATGTTTCACCTGATTAAAAACCGTCACGTTTTAATGTTTGATTACCATCTTTATCTCAGTTTTAAACCAAATAAATCTAATCCGAAGGGATGTTAATCCTATTCCTAAACTATATAAAGTATTTGATCTCAACCATTCACAGTCGCATACGCTTTCTCAAAATTATATTTGATCTTCATTTACCCCTCAAACAATTTAACCTTAAAATTTTTACAATTGTCATTGGGATAAAACCGAACCGAACTTATCCTTCCAGTAATATTTCTGTAGATAAAAATATTTCTTAATTAAATTTTGTATTTAGGATAATGTAAAATAAAAAAATAAAAAGTTTATATTGCTTGATTGTAATGCCGGAATTTTTGTTTAGGCGCTGTGCTGTGTAAGATTATCGGATTAGACATCATAAATTTGGTAACCGGTGTAACGTGACAACATTTCTTTTATTTTCAAGAAAAACTGAATCGGAGATTAGGAGAAAAAATTTTTTTAATTAATATGGACGCTTTAGTTAGATAATATTCATATTTAATAATAAAAAAAACCCCTTCATGGTTAATTCCATTATTTCCGAATTGTTGATGCATCACAAGCAACTAATAAAAAAAAAATCAATTTAATATACATTACAAAGATACCATTTTTAGTCGTGAAAAAAATTGAAATTTCGAATATTAATAAAAAAAGGATACGGCTTTGTAAACCACAAAATCTTCTGAATAATCTCTCGCGCTTCGGCGACAAGTGAATTTGGTAAGCGATATGTTTCATTCGCATTCGTGAATAAAAGATTTGACGATAATATATTAATAATTAAAAATTCGATTCATGCATAACAATAAAGATGACATAATAACGAAGAAAGTATATTATAATTCGTCTTTATGTATAAAGTACATCAGACTTATTGAAATATACGAATTAGGAACTTGAACATTTGGTCAAACACTATGACTGTGCCATTTTACTTGTAATTCATGCATTTGCATATTTTTCACGTATACAGAACAGATGCATTATTCTATCACATTTGTATCCGTCTTTAACGAACTTGTATTGAAAGCAAAGGTTTCACTTTTAAATAATTCATGCAATTTAATATCGCACATGTAGAAATTCGGTATTCAGTACAGATGGCAATGTAGTTAATCATTTTTTTCTAGTTTTTTTTTTTTTTTTTTTTTTTTTTTTTTTTTTTTTTTTTATTTCAATTTAATTCATATGAATTATCATCGCCAACAAAAATATTTATTTTCACGTATAATGTGGTTCAACATACATATGACATTTTTGACAAAATTTCTTTTTCTTAAAGTTATTTAAATAGAGGTTGGATTCGGCCTAAACTTTGAATTGGGTTAAAACTTAGCTCGGGCAGGCATTATAAATTTGGTCAAAATAAAAATAATTTTGGCCAGAGTTAAGATCGACCAGTTAAAAAAAAAATTTCATTCGAAAATCATTTTTTTGAATATTTTAAAAAAAATGATAGGGAATCGTCAATGAATCATTGTCTCTGTAGTTTCAATTCGAAGGATTTTTTTCTTTTTAATTTTAGATTTTAACCTTTTTTTTTATTTAATAATTATAATATTGTTATTATGTGCGCGCGACCCGTGTTAAGCATTCAACACTCAAGTTTCAATATGATAAAAAATTGGTGTTTGAGAAACATCAAAGCATCATCTTATTATAATTTGATTTTAATTAAATTTGCCGAACCCTTTGATTTTACTGGACCAGTGCATCATTTCTATATTTTTTTTTTCATTTTGAAAACAAGGCACGGACGTCGGAAAATATACATTTGTTGGGATCCGTGCTTTGCAAAACAAATTACAAATCTCCTGTTTCATACATTGTTTAGCGTTTACAAGTTTTGTAACGATTACAAATAAAGATTCGTAGTCTATTATTAGTTGTCACGTATTTTATAATCTTAATTTTGGCCAAGGATCGACGCATGTCTAGACGACTAGGATGAACCTCACCCGAGAATCATTTCCTTTAAGTAATCTCGTATTCCCTGTTCCTGTGCTAGGTTCGCATGTCGATCCATGTTTTGTAATGATTATGTAAATTTGGGAGTGAACGTTCTAGGCACCGCGCTTGATTAGTAAAAATCTATGTATGCATGATTAATGATTAATACGATTATATAACGCATTAGAAACTACGAATACTCGAACAGAATTATTTCATCCTTTTCCTTCTGAATGAACAAGGTATGAAAAAAAAAAAAAAAAAAAAAAAAAAATAAAAGTTCTGGTCTTATTATGTTACATTTTCCGCCTTTTTTCCTGAGATAAAGGAAAAATTGTGGAGATAGACGTGTGTGCCAGAAATTCTGTCATCAAATGTGGCTTTTGATTAATGATGCGCAAGTTGCTATTTTTATTTTTAGTCGGTTTAAAGTTAGATCTTATACACAGTTATGATAATTCTCAGGCTGAATAAATTTTTAAGCCACGAAAAACTAATTTTTGGGCTTAAAAAAAAAAATCATGCTATATAAAAGTTCTTTTGGGGCGCACCTAAAAAAAAAAAAAAAAAAAAAAAAAATTTAAAAAATCATAACAATCTCTGAAACATTCATCTGAATAAAGAAATATTTTTTTTTTTTTACTCGTTTCAAGATGAGAATTAATTCTAAATTCGAATTTTTAATGATACTCATCCTTTACATGACGGGTTTGACCAGTAATGAATTTGTGCATTTTGTTTATTTAAAAAGTTAATTCT